GCCGAGCCACGCAGAGCCTTATAGGTGAGCATGAGGATTTTAAAGATATACAGATAGAATTGATTAATCTGATTAACCACAAAATACCTGCACTTTAAGGGGAAAAAATAATTTAAAAAAAATGTTAATCAACATTTTAAGGAGAGTGTGGAAAAAGCAGTATGACATTAAACATTTCTTTAGAATCTTCAGACAAGCCAAGGGTTAATAAGCGATCTTTTCACATTTATGTGATGTTCACAATTAAGTGATGTTTTCACATCTCAAAAAGATGCACAGCACTGGATTGGAGTTTTTGTGTCAATGGTTAGTTAGCACTCGTGGCAACTTTCACACTGCAACTCTTTTGATGTTGCGGGTTGTGTAACCTGATAAGCTACTTTTGTGTATAAAGTCTTCATGTCTACTTTAAGCTCTGTTTGCGGCCCTTCAAATAACAACTTAAGATAGGCAGAGATAATGAAGCACAATTATATCACACAGGATAAGTCTTTACCCAGGCAGACATTTTCAGATAGCTTTATAAAAAGAAATAATTTGAAGCTTGACGTTAAAGGGCAGTCACCTGCCGGACAAAACCCCCTTCAAAAATAAGCCTGGTTTATCTCAAAATTAAAAATAAAGCTACAAAACTAAGAGCGTCAACATACTATGAGAAGGACAGTTTGAAATTTATGGCAGCGTGGAGAATTTAACTCGGCTAACAACAGTCAGTTTAAAAGATTAAATCTAATGTTAAACATATGTCTGGGGTCGAAGAATTCACCGAATCAAGGCTTGCTCATGAGACACGTGGAAAAACACCAGGGTTAGATCTGATACCTTCTGTGCTGGTCTGTATGGGCTCAAAATTTCTAACTGTTCAGGATTTAACCTTCGCCTAATGTGAAACATAACCTATTTCGGGTTTGCTTTTGTAAACTCAAGACAGCAAAGAAAAGAAAAAAAAACAGCAGCCACAAAGTAACTGTGAGAAGTGCACAGCCTAATCACAGAAAAACCCCTCATTTTAATGACGAGATTTGCTAAAAGACCCCTGGCATCTTAAAATAATTTTTCCACTGTTCTTCCACCACCTTGCTATAAATCTCAGCTTTTTTACATGAGAACGTGTGTTAGGACTGAAATGACAGAGAGGTCCTTTCTGCGGATGTGAGGTTGTAGGCCACAAAATTCAAAGGAGTGACTTGATTCTGTTGGGCTCCTATTTTACACTTTGATCTCTGCACAACACTCTGAGATCCACAACTCCACCACCGTATGACTAACATTGATTTAGGAACAGTGACCCCCGTGAGCAGTGATTTTTCAGACACTTAAAAAAAACCCCACTGCACGACGATCACAGAGGAACATTAAAGTTCAGTCGATACTAATGGATCACATCAAAGGAAAACTTTGGATACACTCAAGACCATAAAGTCCAGAATTAGAAATGGCCATGATCTGCCATGGTTGCTCGGACCCTGGGCAAGTGATGCAGACCCTTTAACGCTATGGAAAGGAACTGAATCCCTTTTTAGGCAGCTGGGAAAAGTGTAAACTAGGACCCCATAAGCATATAAAGGGGAGCTGCAACGCTATTTTCATATTTCAGGGTTAGAAAGAATCAGCATTGATGAGTGCACTTCAAACCGCAATAAAAGTCAAATGTACACAGTAATTTGTAAAAACTCCAATTGACTCCAATTTTGGTGGATGCACAGCGCCATTTCCTGCGATTCAGAATGAGGCAACAAAATATCCGATGACATGCTGCGGCCAAATGACAGTGTAAACAAGCAGGCTTGTGAGCACACCAGTTTCAATCCAACAGAAATAGTGCTCTCGACTTCGAGACGGTTTTGCCGACAAATACTACTTACTTGTCAATTCTGCATGAAGATCACACTGGAAACTTTCCGTAGGGAAATGTCTGCCCCACAGACTGTATTTATTTGCCTGACCATCCCTTATATTAGTCATTAAGGAGACCAGTTTGCATTAAGGGTCGCATCTCTTCGCAATTTTGCTTCAATTTAAATTAATGGAAACTCAAACGCGAATTTGTGACAACATCGGCGTAGAGAGGATCGGCTTGCCCAAGGATATCAGAGAGTCACCTTCTCTAAATTCCTTCAAATCCAGACTCAAAACCCTCTTCTTTAGAAGAGCCTTTATTGAACTGGTTCCATTCTTCACCCCTCTGCTCTTCTTAGTACCACCATCCACGGTCTCCTCTGTGTATCGTAATTGTGTTTTATCTTGTGTTTTCCTTTTTATTGTTGTTCTCGTTCTGTAAAGCACTTTGACAAGCCACCTTTAAAGGCGCTATATAAAATAAAGTT